GGACATGGGGGTAAGCAAATTACGAGCTCACCACTATGCACATAAATCAATATAATAATAAATAGTAGGGTCGCAGCATGTACAAGAATCAACAACTAATATCCCATCCTCTAATGCTCTAGTGTACACCCCATATAGCCACTGAAGAGCAAAACTGCATCCAACGACAGGATCAAATGGCAATGGTCGAACCTGCATCCAAAGACATGGCCTATCATTAAGTTAAGAGAAATTGCCTCTCATTGGGCACTGTCGATGGTTGAAACCGCATCCGTCGATGGGGATACCATATCAAAGGTCGAATATGCACAGAACGATAGGGTCGTGGTTCGCATAAATACATTGATCGAGGTAATAATAAAGAATTATGTCATAGAAATTTGTAAACACCCACCTGGAAATCGATAGGCAATAACACGAAATTTTTCGGACGTTGGTCGAGGTATGCACTCCTCAAACACCTACATTTAATCAAAATAATCCTCATAAATATTTTATCTTGATGCTAGAAAATCATTACAGAAATAATACTTAATAAAAAATAATGATTAAGGTGTTGGATTCTGTTAGGAACATATGTGCATATTCAAATCTATTGAATATTAAATCCTAATGTAGCGGAATCTATAGTTAGGATTAGGACTTACGGTTTAAAATTTTTGCCGACTTTGAGACGTTTGTGACTACAATTGTAGAAAATCGTCTGAACTGCAGAGTCCGTTGGGCAGCCGGACTTGGCCTCATCAATGCATTCCAGTAGCTTCTCAGGCTAATCACATCATCTCGGACCTGCGGTAGGTGAATCGGACTGCTTGGAACTCGTCGTGGTGTCAAACTAGGCTTCTGGACCGAGTTGGACTGGTTTGGGTCGGGCTGGACTAGACTGGACTGAGCCGGGATGGACCGGGTTTGAGCTCACTAGGACGGGTCTGGTCGCGTCTGGGCCGGACAGGGCTCGCCAGGGCTGGGCCGCGGGCCTTGTGCCTGGTTTAGGCGATGTTGGGCCGCGGGCTGTTGGCATGGGCCTGGGCCGCACGCTCCTGGGCGCTGATGCACGCGCGTAGGCACATGGGTGCGTGGGATGGTCGAACCTGGACGCCTCGTGCACGCAGGACGTATAGGATCTGCTTGTGTGACACACTGAACGTGGTCTGTACAGACAGCGTGCGAGGATGTTGTACGGCGGGGCTTCTAAGCGCAGCTAGGTACGAGGGACACAAGGCGCACGCGAAGAACACGGGTCACGGCGCAGGGTCACCGAGTTGCGCGCGGGTGCTGCGTCTGCCTGAACGCTCGCGCACGGGTGCGTGGAAATCTGGAACAGGTGCATCCGGCAGCGGCTGGTCGCCAAAATTACTCCGGTGAGCTCCACTTGCTCCGGCGGCCGTCCTCTCCTGTTTTGGTGGCCATCGGAGCTGCTGCGGGATGAATATATATATTCGACAGGATCTGTTTTAATAACCTTTGAAACTTCTATTGTATAACCTTACACGATCTCCAATATATCTTGGTGGAGCGATTTATTGGATATCCCAAAGCCTCTCGATCTTCTTTTTCTAATACCTCTCGATTTTATCTGGAATTTCTCTCAAAGAAGGAATCCTATTTTTCTCACATGATTTAGGAGTGTAATTAGCCTCTTTCTCTTGAAAAAATGTGTGGTATCATGATGCCTTGGGGCTATGGGACTTGGTATATTTATAGGTTACAATATGACTCCAAGAAGGTGCTAAATATGGACTTATTCCATTAGGTTTATGAATCCTAATTATTTTCTATTTCCTTTCCCATCTAGGATAATATTACTCCTAACCCTTAATTACCTTCTTGAAGACTCAATAGTCTCCTAACGAGAGGCAATATTCTAGAAAGAATATTTCTATCTTTAGGGAATCTAAATTATGGAATATAATTAATTCTTAATTACTAATTAGAATTTAGTAATAAACATTCAACTAGAGTAATATTATTGCTCTCCCCATCTAGCTCCGATTATAATTAACACGTCTCCAATTAATAAGTTAATACTAGTTTAATTGATCAATTTATCTCCCTATGTTTAAGATATAACGTCTATTGATTAATCAAATTAGTAACAAAATAATTAATTAACTTCTTATCCATTTCTGAAACTAGTATCGAATACACATCCGCTTGCAGGGCTTGACATAATATTCCTTTCTGAGCTTATTTCGGGGACGTAATCAACCCATCACACTAGAACATAGTGACTGTAAATAATCTATAACAACACATCATATAAACACCCTCATTTACCAAAATACCGAGTATGTCATCCTAACAGAATATGAATCACCCTTGGTAAATCAAATAAAGAAGTAATGAATATATATGCATGTTTTATATTATCTTACAACTTAAGAGTACGCATCAATTACGGAAGGTCTAGATATAACTGCGATCAACAAATCTTATAACCTTATCCTTCCGTTGTCCTGTTCAATGCTTAACATAAGTTAGTCCTTTAGTCAAAGATCAACTGAATCAAGACTACACTACAGTCTTTTTCCAACAGGGGTCTCACTTCCTGTCTAAACTGTGAACAATTAATAAAGTATACAAATTAAAGACAAAAGCGCAGCATACTAAAGTTAAGTTTGAACACTTACGGCTTAAAACTTGCAGGCTCTATACAGACTTAAGATGCCTACAGGGCAGATGAACGGTTCTGAGAAGTTCTTCTTACCTCGTCATCCTCATTTGGTTGTGCATCTCCTCACTGAACCTCGTCAGAAATCGGTCGCGATGGATGGTGTGTATGGTTGTGGAACATCACCGGTACATCATTGGGGCTGCTGCACTGCGGGATCGCTAGGCGTCTTGCTGGGCACTGTGTGCTCGTATCGCCTGGCAGCGCAGGTGCGCGGCTGGATCAGACGGGGGTCGTGTTTAGCTGTGGCCGCATTGTGTGGCTGCATCAGGTGACAACATGTGGTTGCATCACGGTGGATCGCCGAGCAGGGGCTCGAGGCAGTGTGGTTGTGAACGATTCTTTTGTTACTTTAGACCTTTTTTGTATTACTTACACGTCTTCACTCGTCCTGATGGGCGACGAAACGAAGAGCTCTCGATTGGATTTCAGACTTTGTGTCATGTGCTATGTCATTATCCGAACAGAGGATGTGTATTTATAGCCCAGAATAGGGACCCTAAGGATGTGCCAAATATGAGTTTATCAAGTATGGGCCTAACTATAGGCCAAGCCCACTCCGCTCAGACTCGAATAATATTTCAGCCCACTAATGAAATATTATTGCACTCCCCATTTGGCTTCCAAATTAGATTTGAGGCTTTGATAATAATTACTCAATTTAAATTCTCATGTTTACGATATAATGTCGTTCATCTAATTTAACTACTGGCAATATAATTAGTTGACTTCTTTTGCCACGACTAGTACCATTCACATCATTATTATTATGTCGGAAGTTAATCTTCCTGCAGGGTTTATCATAATGATCCCTCTTGAGCTCGTCTCGAGGATATCATCAAACTATTGTACACGTTGACCGTAAATATTCAAACAACACAATGTACCTACAACAACACTACCAAAAATAATTCAGACTATCGACCCAACTGAATGGATCTCACATTTTAGTAAATCAAATTAGCAGCTACTATATGCGCGTGTCTGTTTATATTTTACGGGTTAAGGGTAATTCTTGGTTGTGGATCTTACTATATGCAATGGTACTATTAGAATAGATGATGAAAACATCGGGTAGTTTCTTTATTATAAATTTAGTATAATGCGGATTTGAATGCGGATTTGAATGAGTAAACTAATAAATGACTGATATAGATCATTGTTAGGGTAATAATGTAGTTTTAATATACTAAATATTCCTTATGGATAAGCAAAGATTTGTAAGATTTTACAAAGACGTCCATAAAAGTAGTTGATGGACAGAAATTAAACACACGAAAGTTACAGTCCAAATTATATAAAAACTTGCACAACTTCTAAACATACTAGTACACATACACACATGATAGAGAGAGAGAGAGAGAGAGAGAGAGAGAGAGAGAGAGAAGTTTAAAACAAACTTAACAGTATACGAGCTCCATCATCAGGAGCATGATTGGATGAGGCCTAAGCTGTAGAGCAACTTGTTTGATCTTGAACGAAAAAGAGTGGCCAATGAAAACCTCCCTGCAGCTTGTGAAGTAGTAGTAGTAGTGGAGCTATTATGGTCCTCCTTCACGCGGAGTACGGTGAGCCCTATTTCTTTCCTAATTGCCTCAATGGTTTCCTTTGTGACGGGATACCCAGATGCGTCGGTCACATAGAAAATATTAATGGCTTGAATCCCGATTGTTTTTACGTCAGCTCGAGTTACTGAAAGACCGTGTTCTCTGAATATGCGAGTCACATCAGACAAGAGACCAACCCTATCCTCACTACACAGTTCAAGTCTTATTCCCTGCATTAGTAGTGTTACACACACATCGTGTTATACAGAAACATATATTGTATAATAAATAAATAAACAAATTCAATTGTTAACTAATTAATGTCTTTCTTTTATTCTTAACCTATTTAATTAGTTACCTCTGATGATCTCCTCTTAATTGCTGCTTCCAAGCACTGAATTACACGCTCTCTTTCTGCTTCTGAGCTAATAGGAAAACCATCCATATGCCTTATGTAGTATTCCTAATTACATTT